TTATGCAGTGGGAAGAGAATGATTGGGACCCCTTGATGACATTCTTCCAACAACGGGGTATCCGTCACCTCAGGGGTATTCCTGACTCTCCCACAGGTCAAGCCATAGTAGAGTGCATGAATCAGACCCTCAAGAGACAAATGCAAAAACAGAAAGGGGGAGAGAAGGAGTTAACCCAGCATGAAAGACTACAAAAGGCAGTGTATGTGCTCAACTTCTTGTGGTTCCCAAAGGGTGAAAGCATTCCATAAAAAACATTTGCAGGGCCTGCATTCAGACCTAGGAACTATAGGCTCTGAGGAAGAAAAGGTTAAGGTGGTGGTAAAAAACCCTCCGACAGGACAATGGGAAGGTCCGTTATGGGTGACTCATTCGGTAACTGTGGAGCTGCTTGATACAACAGTACCTTAGAGGATGGGAAAAGAACAAGCCAAGGACATTGAGTGATAAACAAGCTAGTTAAGGAGGATGTGAAACGGGGAAGAGGAAGCTCCCAGAGCTGAAAGAATCAGTAACAGTTTGCGTGATCAGCGCATGGCCGAGACCAAGTCACCTGTCATAACCTAGTAAGATACGTGCGTAACCAATTAGAACTTAGTAACACCTATCATAACCTAGTAAGATACGTGTGTAACCAATTAGAACTTAGTAAGATACATGTGTTAGCCTCGTGTAGCGTGCATTAAGCTAGATACACCCTGTGCTGTTGCAATAGTGTGTCTCCTATCGCCATCTTCGCTGGAGTCCGTGCTGTCATTCCCTTCAGTCCATTCTGATTAATTACTTGGGAAGGGGTTATGCTTGTGTCGTCGCAGGGGACGGAGCCAAGTGGGTACTGGTGAAATGGGTCAAGCCGGCTCTCCATGAACCTGCAGAGGTACTTCCTACCTCAAGAGAGCAAGTGCCCGATGTGTGACCGGCGTCAGCCTTGGGTACTATCACAGTGTAACGTTTGGGAAACACCTTTAATAGTGGTAACATCACTGTTTACACCCGGCGTAGCTGCTAGGGAGGCCTTAGGAGATTGGAACAAACTAGGGTGTTGGATTGGAAAACAGACGAATTTAACATAGAGTATATTATCAGAGTTGTTAAAGGATGTAGCAATGGATAACATAGAGTATATTATCAGAGTTCTTAAAGGATGTAGCAATGGATTTTTTGCTATTAGCACACGGCCATGGATGTGAGGATTTTGAAGGAATGTGCTGTATGAACCTTTCCGACCATTCTGAGTCCATTACTGATGGGGGACTCTCGGACTGGTTACGAGGGTTGGGAATCACGGGCTGGTTGGAAGATCTCGTTTATGGCCTTGTAGCTTTAGTATGTATTTTAACAATTAGTGTATTAGTGCCTTGTGTATTGATGATGTTTGTTAAATCTGTTGAACGCACTATCAAAGGGGTTTGGCTTGTACAAAAACTGAAAGGGGGAGATGTGGGAACATTTCTACAAGAATGTGGACACGACTCTACAGCCCTGGAGTAGTACGTGACCGCAGGCACGTTCGCTGCGTCCTCGGAGTTAGCAAAACGGGGTCTAAGGGGAGTTGCCCAGGATGGGGGTGGAATTGAGGTGGAACAGAACAGGCCAATCACATGTTAGTTTTAGGCGTGTAGACAAGCCAATGAACCAATGAATGTAAACCAAATCTTATATAAGTTTGTTGATGTTGTGAATAAAGGTCTTCGCATATAACTCTTACAGAGTTGTATGAAGTCTGTTATCTTCGCCGCCAGCAAAATAATACTTGAAAAATTCATCTTTCAAAGAAAACAGTAAGATTCAATTTTGCAGAATTGCAAAAAAGACTTACACAGAAACGGTTGGGAGGAGATTTCATGCAAGAAAGGGTTGTTGGTGAAACTATTTCACAGGATAAAAACAAAAAACCAGAACAAACCCCAAGCAGCTCTTCATTACAGTACATTGCTGTGCAAGATCTGCATGGTGCAAGCACCAGCTGAAGTTTTACCTTGTTCCTAGAAGCCATTTTTCTGTGGCTGACAAAATGATCCTCCTCTAGACTTGTGTGTTCTTCTGCCACACAGACTACAGCAGACAGAAATGAGCTAACAAAAGTGCCAGTTTGTGGAGATTCCCACTTGCCTCCAGGTGCTGCTGGAGGAGCATCTTCTGTCGTGCAAGTGAGGTGAGTCTCTTTCGGACCTGTACTTTTCAGAACTGCACCTGAATACGCGTATCGCCTCGCACTCCAGAAGGCCAGGACTGCTCTGTAATACAACGTGACTAAAAACAACGTTCTGCTTGGCTCCAGAGGTTTCCTGAGAAAAGGCCATCAGTTACTGAAATCGACTCTACTTTGCTTCATAGGCTTCGGAATGTCTGCGGATCAGGCTGAACTTGCCTGTTGGGTCAGGGACATACCACTTCTCCCAGACTTCGACATATGAAGCTGTTCTTCCCCATGGTTTGAAATGTCCATTCCAGTGGAGCAGTTTGGCAGCTTTCACAAACTGGGGAGAGTACCTTTTTCCAGCACTAGACCCTTGTATTGAAAAAAGAAGCATTAGTGCCTGAAATAAAGGCAGCAGAAACACCAACATGCAATATTTTAACTTCAAACTGTCATTTATGAAAAAAGGAGGTGATATGGGAGACAGAAATCAGGGCAAAGTGAAAAACGTCGTCAGATGCAACTGAATGCCAGGTCCAATCTGTCCCAGTATCTATTTTAATGTACTGCCTTGACTTCCAGGTTCTTTAAAACTCCCTTAATATGCAGATGTATTCAGCAGCCTAACATTGCTCGCTGGAAACAAAACCTAAGCCAGCTCTCCCAGCAATAGGTTTTCACCAGTAGCCGAGTCTGTTCCTCTCAACAATCTTGGAGGCAACAGCTGGATTACTTCAGATACAATATATGAGTGGGAAAAGGAAAGGAAAATGAGAAATAATTCATAGAATCATAGAATAGTTAGGGTTGGAAGGGACCTTAAAGCCCATCTAGTTCCAACTCCCCTGCCATGGGCAGGGACACCTTCCTCCAGGCCAGGTTGCTCCAAGCCTCATCCAGCCTGGCCTTGAACACTTCCAGGGATGGGGCACCCACAGCTTCTCTGGGCAACCTGTTCCAGTGCCTCACCACCCTCTCAGGGAAGAACTTCTTCCTGATATCTAATCTAAACCTCCCCACTTTCCATTTAAACCCGTTACCCCTTGTCCTGTCACTACAGCCCTTGTAAAAAGTCCCCCCCAGCTTCCTTGTAGCCCCTTCAGGCACTGGAAGGTGCTATAAGGTCTCCCTGGAGCCTTCTCTTCTCCAGGCTGAACAAGCCCAACTCTCTCAGCCTGTCCCCACAGCAGAGGGGCTCCAGCCCTCGGAGCATCTCCATGGCCTCCTCTGGACTCACTCCAACCAGTCAGTATCCTTGAGATGTTGAGGACTCCACAGCTGGACGCAGCACTCCAGGTGGGGTCTCACCAGAGCAGAGTACAGGGGCAGAATCCCCTCCCTCGACCTGCTGGCCACACTGCTCTGGATACAGCCCAGGATATCATTCAAGAACTGTCCCCCAAGCAGTTCAAAACAAGCACATGAAGGATCAGGCCCACAAGCCCCAAGATGGTATTGCAAAGCAGTGTTTCTTAAAGAACACTTTAAAGGAAGGAAAGATCCATTTGCTGCATCAACTATCTGTCCAGCTAGAGACCTGGAAAAACACACTGGGGGAGCAGCGTCACAGATGGTTCATACATACCGAGATGCCGGACGTTCCACATGGGATCAATACTGGAATGTTGCTTGTAAAATACAATTAGCAGGGGAGGTGTCGTGATGCTGCCAGCCAGAGTCCTACTGTAAAGGTCCTCTCTGAAAGAGAGGATGAAAAGAAGCTGGGAAAGGATGCTTGTGTAGCCCTAAATAAGGTGATTTTCACTTGCAGCTGCATGACAGGAATTCCCAAGTGAATAGACTGCCCTTCATTTAACAGTTAAACGCCTTCACCATACTCAATCGTCCCCAGCTTGGGAGTACTTACACTACATTAAGTGCCATCCACTTCTCCAATTGCTTAGTGATGTTCTGTAATTTCCATTCTGTCAGATTGGCAACAAAAACTCCTGGATTGAAAGAGCAGGTGCTGGCTTTCATGGCAAGCTTTCGGATGGTTTCTTTTTTGTAATCTAGAAACCCAATGTAATTATACTGGGGGGGGGGGGGCGGGAAACACACAACAAAAAAAGGTAGAAATTAGCTTAAAATATGGTCAAATTACTATTTAAAGAGAAGTTTTGCACAATTCCCAGTAGACAAGCGTAACAAAGTTGTTAAAGCAAATACCCCTTCCTTTAAAACAAGAGAAAGAAAGCTTAAGAGGTCTAACGTTTTAAAAATATAATTATATAAACTACTTATTTTCAAGGAAGGCTGCATGGTCTTAACAATATCATATTAATACAGTACCACTCCTAGAGAAAGTACTTGTCATACACTCACAAATGAAAAACTGTGCTTCTGATGTTCTTTCCACCCAGGGAACAGCTCTCACTGTAAAGCACAACAATTCAGTGCTTTTACAGTGTCTGAACAGAAACTGCTGGGGTAACACAAACACCAGAGTCAACTGAGTTGGGCAGGGACAGTCACACCTTCAGGTGCAGTGCATTTGGAAGCCAACCTGCAGGAACATTAAAACCGAGTGCCTGTTTCCAAAGCCTGGGGTCTCTGGTATTGTTAGCACTGCATGGGAATAAAACTAACCTGATTGCCGGCTCCACGGACAGCAACTTTATTAGTGGTTGAGTCACAGTCGTCTGAAAACGCAGCTGCGTGTCCAGGTTTCAACGGAGTGTTGTAAAGTTCAAGAATATCATCTGAAAAATGGAAGCAAGCACAGAAACAAGAAATTCTGATTAAGCACTGAGTGACTTTTTGTTCAGCCCATTGCTACAGCAGATAAAAGCGCTCAGTTTAATCCAACTCCTCCATATTTACAGATCTTTCTTTGAAGTAGAAGTGTTTGGTTACTGTATGAGATGACATACTGACCTCAGCATAAGGCCAGTGGCCAAAGGCTAAGAAAAGGTCCCATACCTTGCACTATTACATCATCATCCACATAGATGGCCTTTTCTGCATGAGGTACCAAATTGGGCAAGTAGAATCTTGCAAAGGTCAACTGTGAAAACAAGAAAGCAAGAGAAGTGAAGAATTAAATGAAAAATTGTCCAAAGAACTTGACTGATACTCCTGGCACATATCTGTGGTACTAATGTCTAAGTCAATTTCTATCAAGGAAGTAAAACAGGCAGCAAGATCCTAAAGTTAATTATAAGAAACAGGTTCCATCAAATCCTGGTTTCCTCTGAATCTGTGCAATGATCAGCTAACTTTAAAGCTGGTCTGTATTAGAATTTATTTCCCCACCTATATCTGTAGTATCTGAGGTGTTGGCATGCATGACATGCAAGCTGCAGTGTTTCACTGTAGCTAGCAGCAAAACATGCTACTAGGGATGCATATGTAGATATCCAAATCTATCTCTCTCTACCTGGAAATCTATTTTTACTGAAATTTAGGAATTTGATTATAAAAGACTGCTTCTACACTAACAGATTTGGTTTTATCTCTAGTTGTGTTCAAAAGCCAACATCAAAATATGTTGTTACTAGCGACCGCAAAGGGTAATCAACATCATCCTCACTGGTTTCAAGGGGTCTGCCTTCTGAGGATCCACTTGCACTTTCCCTTCTAAGACACGAGGGTCAAAATCCAAAATTCGGTATCTCAGATTTTTCAGAGCAGTGTTACTTAGCCACAGCCTGCAAAGAGAACGGCACAGATTTTGTTAAATGAGACAAAATCAAATGAAAAGCAAGAGATCTGATCCACAGTGACACAGATCTTGATCTGGCCACTCGCTCCCCATCCAACAAACACCCAGAGAATGTCATCTATGGCTGATGTCAGTGGCGTCCTGTATGACTGCAGGGCATGCCCACTGTCAGCATACTGCACAGCTGCAACACGTGAAAGGTATGAGGCTGCTTCTTATTTTATCAGAAATACACGGTCCTGTTATCACAGGTCCTTCACAAAAAATAGCAGTGTGAATGGATATGGGTAAAAATAAAAGCCTCAAAGAACAATCTAGAAAAATGGAGAAACATCACCACCAGCATTTGAATTGCTGGAGTGTTAAGAGTTACTTCCTATATTTCAAGCCCTCTACCAACAAACTCCAACCCCACTGGTTGGATAACCCTGCTGGAAAAGATGGCTCTTTTCCATCCCTGAAACATTACCAGAAGGACTGACTGTAGGACTCCTCACAGCAGCCTTGTCAAAAAGCTGCAATAAGCAGCAGCAGGTAGGACTGCAAACACTTTAGAGGAGTGCAGTTCCAGAGAAAGTCCATTCTGAGATGTGTAAGTTTTACAGTATTGTGGGAATCTAATAAAGAGATCGTTACCTCAAGTGATCCACAGTATCATTCAAAGTAACAATATGGAAAACCACGTTGGATCTGGTGTTACGGTAAATACTGTTCATGGCTGCAATTGCACCTCCAAGCCTCTCATCCGATGCTGCAATGACCACAGAAATCTCCTTATCATTCCTTTCATCTGCCAGCCTCTGGGGAACCGCAGGTATGAAATCTATAGGCTGAAGTCCTAATGGATTTGAATCTGTGGAGTACAAACACCATCACACACTTGTTTCATGCAAATGAAACACAGATGTTATGACCATGCTAAAGACCTTCAATTGTTCCTACTATGCAAGCACTTGGATGTCTCAGTCTGGGTGTGCATTACAGTGTGCCAGCATCACGCACTCAAAATATAGCCCCTGCTCTTGAAAATCTGAGATGTTAATGAACAGGAAAACATCACACTGACAAATAAACAACATACAGTTAACTGTACATATTCACACTCATCACAACAAGGTACTAAAATGAGGCTTAAACTACAGTAGGCCGCACTTACCTTTGGTAACCCTCTGCCATATCTATAATTTGGTATTGGTAAATTAGTATAATTTGGTAACCCTTTGCCATGTCTATAATCTCACTGACTTCATCCTCCCATTTGCCCTAACCACCTTCTAGTCTTCTCCCCACCACCCTTCCATCTTCTACTTTCTTTTCCTCTAAGGTAGGAACCAATGAAGAAAACAGAAATTCTAAATTAAAGTAACTGTTGTGAATTTTTTCCTGCCAAAGATCAAGGCATTAAGTACAGCCCAGGTTCATGCCATGCATCACAGATCACACTACACTATCTAAGCTGAAACCACAAGTATTTATATTCTTAGTGTGCAGAGATAAGACGGGAGATCCACACTGAAATTTATTACTAGACCACATCCCCTGTAAAAGCTGGCAAATTGCCCTCTGCTCACACTTTCTATAACACTGGTAACCTTCAGATGATCCAGATGATTAGATATTAATTTCAGGTAATTTGAGGAACATAGCAAAAGGGGACTTGGCAGTTCGTGGGCAATATTCCGCTATTCACACAGCCAGGCTCCTGCTGCTGTCTGCATTTTTCCAATGACAAGAGCTCAACAGCTTTGACTTCAACTGATTCCTGGTTAAGGCCTGTCAGGCTCCTGTTCCAACTGCTACGCTGGAGCAATAGCTCCCAGAAGCAGCAAACTGGGACTTGGCAGTTAACGGGGACATGGAGAGAGGCTCTATGGGTCCATGTGCAGTTCTTAAATGTGGACTCCCAAAACTGAAAAGCAAACTGAATCGTATCTTAATGACTTTTAAAGCCAGAAGGAACCCTTACTGCTATCTCGTCTGGCTTCCTGACTGACAAAAGTCACAGGAGAGCAAGAACAGACAAGCTCACCAAGCTGAAGTTTCCTGGGTACAAGAACAGGAAAATATGTAGTCATAAGGCAGTACAAAAATTACATTTTGTTATGCAAATGATTGAGCCTTATCATACACATTATTTCAGCAACGTGGTGGTTTCTGTCTGGCCAGAGCATGTGCTTTTCCACTAATCTTAAAAAGCACCAACCCCCAAAAAATCACATACACAAACCCACATCAAAAAAAAACCCCAAAAACATACCTGACAATTCCCGTTTCAAGAAGTCACTGAGGCCTAGGAAGTTGTGATGAAGAACGAGCAAAAATATGACAACAGCCACTACAAGGATGGAAATGTTCACTGAAAATTTAACAGAAAAAAGCTTATCAATATAACAAGAGAAAGATTACAAAACTCAGAAAAGTACAAGAGAGATTTTTTAAAAACTCAGACACACACATATACCCATACCTTTCCTTAATGTCATTTTTCTGTTGTTATTTTAATTATTAGCATAAGCTTCCTGCCAGCCTGAAAGAGAAAAAATACAGCAGTCAGCGCCTACTTCCCGTGCATGCCTACACAAGGGACAGCACGCTATCACCAGGAGTGTCCAGCTTCTAAATGCAGTGAATTTTTCCTTCTCCTAAAGAGACAAAACTGTGCGTCACATTTCAATAACCAATTATGGTATCTCGGTAAGTTCGTAGCTACAATGGTGTACCTAAAGAAGAACTCAGAGATGCAAAGGGAGACATTGACATCTTGCACTTACTGCACCGACAGAAAAAAAAAAAAAAACCCAAACCCAAACTCCTGCCAATCAAAAGCAATCTGGAAAGAATTTGGAAGATTATGTATGGTTTTTCTTTTATGTTGAACCAATTTACGTAACTATCTGCAGGGGGAGCATCCCAGCAATAAGGCAAACGATTATACGTTTCTTCCCATACTTAACTAACCGCGAGATGTTGGCGGGACACTGTTTATAAGGTTTTAACAAACAGCATTATACACTCCAAAGCCATGAAATACTTTAGTAAAAGATAACCGAATCTCAGCCGAGGTGTCATAGCGGTACACCGCGACGTCCCTCATGAACATGAAGCACGTTGCGATGCTCCTCAGCCCCCCGGCAGCGATGCTGAGGGTGCACGCGCACGTACGCGGCTTCTGCCCTCAGTGACACCACAGCAGCCTGCGCGAGGCTGCTTTTAGACTGACCTTTCCAGAAATCGTTGTCAGCGCACACGCAAACCCACGCTGGCATACTCCAACACCTCCCCGTCGCTACGCTGCCGCAATTTCGGCTATTCCGGGGGCGCGGTTTACACACAGTAAGTTGGGCACACGACTGCTCCCACCCACCCCCCAACCGCTGCGAGGCCCA